GCTTCATCTGTAGGCTGTACCTGAAAGTAGGGCCCCGATCATTGCTCTTTTCACTGTAGCCTCTTTGATAGACCTAAGTTATTTTAAAATATACATTTCAAATCGCGAAATGCAAGCCAAACACTGTTAAAGCGAGTTGTAGCCTTTCATCTTGGTGAATAAATAAATATAATAAGCCTCAGAAAATGCTTAGAACAGTGATGAAGCTTTGATGAAAAGCGCAACAACTCTGCGGATAATATTTCGTTTTTAAGATATTTTGAATCGCATTTATACAAATGGAGAGGGAGAGATGAGTGCAACGTTAGCAGGCACCACTTACCATAAGAATGCAAGGGGACTGTTCTGAGATGTTCTCTATATTACCTAGCGTTCTCGCCATATATAGGTATTTTGTGATTTCTTTGGAAAATTATAACACAAAACTAAATTTACCGTTATTAAATCTAGAACAAAGACTCAACATATCGAGACGTAAGGTTTCCTCTTCTGTTTCTTTGTACAGCTCCTGAAAGAATCAAAAACGTTTGTGAAGACGCTGACATGCAAGTTCAATGTCCCATTTGAACTGGGGAAGGAAACATCCGTCCGCATTGTAGGCGGACCAGGACAAAAACTGGACGCTCGTCTTAAGCATGAGAGTGGTACAACTTGTGCAGACTGCACTCTAATCAAGGATGACGAAGCCAGTTCTTTTTTGGTTATTATCCCTTCACCTGCCCAGGTTTGGCTTGTATTATTACTGATTTGTGTTGTTTATTTACGCACAAGCGATTGCAGTGTCACTGCACGCATGTTCTTTCAGCACACGATTATAACCTTAAGATGCACCCACCAGAAAGTAATGTCAGGATAGCTTACCCCAACAAACAAAATATATGCGCATATAATATATAGTTTTTTTTTTAGCTGAACCAAATTTTAAATTAAAGGGGAAGATTTCTATGAATGCGGTTATTACACCGTGTTTATATGGCACGGCGAATATTAGAGGGAAATATAACCGTCATGATTATCAGAATTACCTGCATTTTTTAATTAACTTTTTAATTACAGTAATTAAGTTGTATATATTAATAAAGATTTGAGGCGGTCGTCTGTTGCGATTGTTTCATTTTGTAGAATTTGAGTAACCGGCCTGTATTCCTCGATATTCGTAAAAAGAATTTTGTTCCTTTATGCGGGTAATGAAGCAAAGTTTGGCTATAGAGGCGACTTTCGTGTGTTTTTCTGATTGAGCGGAGAACAGTCGGGTTATGTCGAAAATTCGGGCGCAGATATTTGGAAATACGAGCTGGTTACGCTGCTTGAACAAAATGGAACAGTCTTTGCATACAACCGCCACACAATTTGTAATATAAACATATAGCAATTACAGTAATGAAAAAGTTAATTGACGAATATGAGTTAATTAATCTGATAATAGTGAGGGTTGCGATACCGTCTCGAGTACGCCGAGTATTATAAATACGAAGTGATATTCGCATATATATAACTTCCCACCCCTTTATTTAAAAATTTGCTGCTAAAAGAAGGAAGTAAAACACGAAGCAAAAAGGATGTAAAGCAAATATTGACTTTATAATAAGTGTTCTTGGAATACTACCGCTTAATCGTGCCACCTCAGGCGTCGCACTTACGGAGCACCGGTAACTTGTCCCATCGAGCTAAAAGACGTCGGAAAAACCGATAAAAACGCGATTGCGCCGCACGCGCTGCTCAATGGGTGACCCCACTAGTCCCATTACCTTGGCGTTTTCCTTGCGGTCGTCCTAGACATCATCCTACACCTCCAGAAAGACTTCAATTGTTACATTACGTGAAAAACAAGCGGCATCGGCTTTGTTCTGCCCGAAAGATGGTTAGAAAAATACGTCATCAAGCGTCATCAGTGTGATGTCATCAAACGCCGTCGTGCGTCAGCGTGAAAAGACCGCCGCAGCGCCATGTGCAAAGGTTGCGCTTTGGACTTCACTTCTGCTCGTTGTGTACTTCGTGCGATGAACTGTGAGGCGACCGCGTCTGAATCTACGTCCTCGAAAATGGCAGCAGCGTTTATATCCACGGCCGCTTCCGTAGGCAAACGTGGCCGCTCAAACAAACACACCAAAGCCTCCTTAAGTGTCCTCCTCCCGCTGTCATTCTCGACGTCGTTCTAGAGGTCGTCCTGGAAGTCACCGTAGACGTCGTTCGTGACGTCGTCTCCGGTGACTTCTAGGACGACCTCTAGAAGTCGTTCTAGTACGACCTCTGGGAAGTCGTCCTTGAACGATGTCTAGGACGACTTCCTAGAAGTCGTCCTGGACATCGGTTTTGACGTCCCCCTAGAGGTCCTCCTAGACGTCGTCCTCTTAGCGTCGTTCTAAACGTGGTCTTAGAGGTCGTCTTTAAGGTCTTGCTAAAGGTCGCCCTAGAAGTCTTCCTAGACATCGTCCTCGACATCGTCCTATACGTTGTCCTTGACTCGCTTTCAAATTCTTACACCTGAGCAGTTTTAAGTGTACTCCTGTAACTTCACACTCTCGAAATTGTAAAGGCTGGGACTTAAAAACATATCGACAAGTCGCGCACTCCTCAAAGTACGTTACTGTTTTTGTTACAATTTCGGATTTGATCTTTTTTAATTTTTAGAATATATGTGGTTCCGGCGCCAGATTACTCTTCGGTGCTAAACTTTATGTCAATGATTGTTTTGACTTTCCCTGGTAGAGGTTGTTGTAGAAGTCGCAGAGGCAGCACTGGGTTTTTCTATTGTTTTGATAAGTGAGCCTGGGTGCATACTCCTCTTTTTTTTCTGAAATATTTGCCATCCCTTACTGTTCAATAGCTATAGATTCTTTGTTTCTAGAGTGATACATTCTTCAAAAATGGGATTGATATTTTCGCTTTTCTGATGTATCTATAGCGTATTCCCCGACGACTTGTTTTTCGTATGCCCCTTGCTTTGGTATCACCAAATCTTTGCAGCCAGGGAAGTGGCAGCTGATCTTGACAGCACGCCACCAAGGACCAGCCGATGTCGGCATTCTCGTGAAATCATTTCAAAAGGACAAGAATGTGGCCACCATAAGAGCCGCAATTTATTTTGGAAGAACTATCGTAACTGCTGGCAACGTTCCCGTAGTCTACGTGAAGGTCACAAAAGGAAATGACGTGGTACGGCATGCTGACGCGGCTGTGATGGTCACACCACCCGATGCTTCATCCCGAACCCGCATCACAGTTCGCGACGACGGTCTAGGTGAGAGGCCCATCGTCGGAATGGTCGCTCCAAATATGACCGAGCACCGATAGGATAAATACCTCTTTTTCAGTTGTCGCATAAACACTTTCACCGAACTGTGCATAACATGTAAGGTTTATAAACTGCCATATCGCACAAAACCCTCCCTGCAAATGCAGATATAATAGAAGTCTTAACTGAAGAGTAGCACTAAAACAAACATGTCGTCAATGACGCCTTAATGAATGCAGGGCGTGGTGAGTCCATAACATTTGATGATAACTCCACAGCCTATGAGATGGCGTAATTAGACAATAAGAACGCCTAACAGCCAATTAGCAAGGAAGAAGCATTAGCACAAGAACCCATGCTCGGCGTTCCTTAAGCTCTCTGCGACTATTGCACACTAAATGCATGCGGTTGGCTGGAGCGGCATAAAGTACGTTACGACAGATCGAAGGAGCGAGTCGTATATTTCACATTAGATTATACATATATTAAAAATACGGAGTTCGGGTTTGATTCTCGGAATGAGAGGCCAGGCTTCACGTCGCTCCTGCCATGTGATCGTTCTTTCCATAAAACAGAGCTGTTCACACCATGCAATTTGTACCAGCTATTTAGGACTAGCAGCAAAACCCGTGCACCCCACTCTGGCTGGTCTCCGAGCATTTCTTCGTAGTTTCTCCGAGTTTCTTGTCGGGCCTAGCGAAGAGCACGGCTTTTAGCCGCTTGCCGCGGACTCACCGGGCCTGCGTTTTGCCACCTTCCAACAGAAATTACGTCATCGTTACCGAAGCCGCAAGTCGAACACAGTCGAACACACCCTCGCACTCTTCTTAGGGAATTTCGTAACCATTGCCCATCTCAAACCGTAAACCCGAACAACGCCCATCTACCGACAGAACGATGCGACGTTACACGCATCGACCTTCAAGACTTGCAAACCTCATTCTCCTCCTACTTTTAAGATATCAAGCTACATCAAAATCACCACGCAAGTCAACGTTCTAACACTATCGCCGTCACGACGTTCGATTCTACTCAGGTTGCGCTCGTCCTCCGGGTAAACTCTATGCCACTGAGATTCAGACCACCATTCCAGGTGCGCTCGTGCCAGGTCCCCACAGAAGGAATCTCCCGCAGCGTGATCTACGGGTACAAGGCGGAAAACACTATGGAGAAACTCCTGAAGGTCCTGCATGCCGATGGCTCGACATACTGACCGTACGGCCTATGGGCTCTCACGGAACTGAATTTATCAGTTCTTCTTCCCCACATGCCCCGCACCAAGTCACACGCTGGGGCTACCCGCGACAAGTGGAACGGTACGGGCACAGGTTTCTAGTGCATCTGCGTAGCCATTGCTTCGGCTCCTAAGCCACCGTCTGCGCGAATGAAACGCCCGACTGCAGCAGCTGCGGTCAAGAGCACCAAGAACACCAACAACATTGACTCAACGGCAACTCAAGCTACTGCGCTTACTGGAAGCAAGAAAAACCACCTTGCTGACGATAATTCCGGCCCCGCCCAAGCGCAGTTAACTGAACGGACATGGCAACACGAAGAAGCTAAACAAGAACAAAAATCGCCGACCATAAGATCGACAGTGGCACGCCTCGAGGTGCAGACTTGCACGCTACAATAGCAGTATCTCTGCCTCGGACCATTCTCGCACCTCACGCCAGGTTCGTATTAACGAGCTATTCCGCTCGCAAAAATCTGCAATGGCAGGACTCTCTAAAGAGTGTTAAACTTTAGACACGCAGCAACTCACCGACACGCATCAGGCAGCACAAAGCCGCAACCAGGAAAACTTCCACCGTACCGTCCAACAGCAGCATCAACCATTGACAGCTATACTCAGGACCGTGCAAGTGGCCACGGAGAAGTATGATCAGCGACGCCGAAAAAGAGAATGCTGGCTCTGCTCCCCGAGTTTCAAACAGGAGGAGGAGAGGCTGCAAATAGAGAGTGAACTCGTCAAACAGAGCAAGCGCCGCCAGTCCCGCTCACCACGGCACAGTCCTTCGCCACACGTCTCCTCGCATCCACTCGCAACACACGAAACCCCATGACCGTCTCTACCATCCACAACATCCCAGCTTCGTCCCGACGCGCCGGAGCATGTACGCCAGCTTCAGAAGACCCAACAAGCACAAAATTTCCTGCACGCCTTCCAGAAGCGCAAGTAGCAACAACAGCAAGACGCGAAACGAGCCATTCGGCAAGTTAAGAAACAACTAAAGCAACTTATTCAAGCAATTGCTCCCCTTATAAATCAATATGAATGCACACAAGGAGTACAAGTTCAGCCCTGCGCCCAAGAGCATGCGTAAACACCCCCATGACGCCCTGCAGTGGAATTGCCGGTCGCTGCGTCAAACGGCATAGAGCTTACCGAACACTTTCCCCTCATCTGTAGTCGGGCACCAGTTCAACTGCAGAAAATGCGAGAAAAGAATGAGGCCGCATCTCCACGTGGTGAACGATGTTGATTGCGGCGAAGCTCTGGTGGTGCTGATGATACTGATTTTATTGCTCATAGATGGTGCTGAGTTCCGGGTTACCGTTTCGACTTCATTATTACTGCTTTATGGTCAATGAAATGCGGAGCTTGGATCCGCTAGAAGCCGTGGGAACGCATCTCCACGGCTTAAGTCAACGGTCCATGTTAGAAAGAAAATGTGTGGTATGGATCATGGTTTTATACGCAGTTGAGCATTTGACCGGAGCGTCCTCTCGTCTATAAACGTTGAGCCAACGCATGCATAGGTTAACGCGATTATATACGCATTTGACCGCAGCGCCCTCTCCTGTATAGACGTTGAGCGGCTAATGGGACGTCGGAGTGTAGCGAGAGGTTGCACTTCCGGTGCTCGAACGAGAAGGACGTGTAGTCATGAGCTCTGTCGGAGCGGTGAAAACGGCCCCGTCGGGCCGTGGTACTACTGTTAATAGAGAGTTTTAGCTTACCGCGTACCGGGCGACCGCCGGGGTTACCGCGACCGCGACCATCGAGCCGGTACCGGACCGAGAGCGTAGCGGGTAAAGAACGTTTTAGCATACCGTAACCGCGCCTGACCGCGCCTATGGAAGTTTCTTCTTTCTCCAACGGCTGGAAAAAGTCATGATGATGATAGTGAATATAGGCGTGGTTCGTTTTTAAAGCGGTACATTTATTTGGACAAATGCCGCATAAAAAGCCACTTTTAAAAAATTTTTTCCTCATTACGAGTAGTTATGGTGGTACTTCCTTGGTATACGACCAAGTAACTTAATTTGTCAGCTAAGCTGTTGTCAGCTTGTCAGCTGACAACTTAGCTTAGCTTAGCTTGTCAGCTGACAGCTTAGCTGACAGTTGTCAGCTAAGCTGTCAGCTAAGCTGTTGGATGGTCGTTGTGTGAATATTTACACAGCGCGAGGTTAGTCTGCCTGAATTTGGCGATACTGTTTCTTCGCTGTGGATGGGCAGTGTGGCCAGTGCGGTACGACCGAAAACCTGGAGTCTTTAACGTGCACCACCAGTCATGGTTATACGAACGCAGCCGGTACGATGGTCGTCCAGATCGAACCGGCCAGGGACGGGGATTTGAACCCAGTGCTCTGAGTTCTGCAACGCGAGCTTTCGCTACACGTGCTCCGAGCTGTGGTGCGTTAGCCCACTCGGCCACCGTTCTCCCACGAATGCAAGCCAACAGCATCATCCTGTACGCTGCTTGTTTGCATTCGCAGCTCCATTGCCATCAGCACCAGTCTCTAATGTCGGCTAGGTGGCTCAGGTTGCCGCCCGAAACAAGGGGCATAGCAGTTACCATCCATCTATTCAACCGGCCTGTCCGGCGGCCATGGAAGCCCGGATTTTTGCTATGGACCTCGGGTAGGCGAAAGCCTTTATAGGCCAACCAGAGCCGCTTCACTTGCCCTTTCCCATGTCATGTGGTGCGACGATTGTTTCTAGACGCCTCCCCCGCCATTCCAAAACAGTAAGTGATTAGTCTACGCCGGCCGTCGGAGCCGATGCCCGGCAGTCGCCATTGACGGTAAACGTGGTAAACCGAGTAGCGTGGCATAATTGGCGCATGCGCAGTTCTGCAGTGACGGTCGCGGTAACCCCCCGGTCGCCCGGTAGGCGGTAAGCTAATACTCTCTAATGCTGCACCCGAGGGTTACCAGGTTATCCTTCACCAGCTGCCCACCGGATACGTTGTAACGAATACTGGTTTTCTTCACTGCAACGTGAAAGGCCGTCCTTACCGAGTGCACGACTTCCGAGAAGAACTAGAAAGGCTCGACGTACTGAAGGACCTGGCTTCTGCCGGCCCTCATCAGATGAACCACGTCTGGAGTTTGAGGATGCACTCCATCGCAGCGAAGCAACGACTGGTCGACGCCAAGGAGCTGACCATATAGGGGGACGGTGCCTTGTCATCGACCCGGCGAACATGGCGGTGAAGGTGAAACTTTACTGGGTCCCGTACGACGTGCCCAACGGCCAGGTAAAGAAAGACCTGGAGCGCTACGGCAAGGTCTCCGAGATCACTAGGGAGCTCTTCCGGGAGAAGGGGTTTGAAACTGTCGAATCACACACCAGAAGTGTGCGTCTGACCCTCAAGGAAGACTACACTGTCGACAGCCTCCCGCACGAAATTTGCCTGGAAGGGTGTAAGGTGCTCGTCGTTGTGCCAGGACGCACGCCGCTTTGCCTACGCTGCCGTCGTACACATCCGCCGGGACTGCCGTGTCCCCCGATGCTCCGACTGCCATCGCTTTGGCCATGAGGCCAACGACTGTGTCAAGACCTACGCGTCGATGGCCCGCGACCGCAAGGCGGACGACCAATTAGACTTCGTAATGGACGACGTCGAAGCGGAGGAAGCGGTCGGTGCTTCTGGGCCGACAGCACTTCCGCCGCCCGACGGCGGTGGGTCGGCTACCCCAGCAGACGTCGATAATCCGGCCGCACCTACAGGAAGCAGCGGCTCCGAGCCCGTACCGCAAGGCGCGGGGGCGGCGGCCGCGAAGGAGGAGCCACAGGCTCAAGAACAAGACCTCAGCCAAAGCGACGGAATTGCCCCGAGGGAAAGTGACGACGGTACTCCTAGTCGCGACCCCTCGGCTCCGGTGCCAGACGCGGACGTTGAGGTGGGCCAGGTAGTCAAGCGACTGCGGGACCCAACGTCAACCCCAGACGACGCCGCAGCAGGATGGACGCGGCAACGTATCCGGAGGCCGGGACTTCTGCCAAGCGAACCCGTGCTCAGGCAAAGCCTCGCGTACCAACTGAAGACCACTGCAGTAAGAACTCGCAGTGAATGTCCTTTCAAGGAAGTTTCGGTTTGAGTAACACTGCCTTTTATTAACGTCTGTTGGAGGGCTTTTATTTAAGCGAGGGGGAACTACAAATTTCGAGCCGACCACGCTCGATCTTCGCGACTCGATTCGTTTCGCGACACTAAACGTCCGTGGCCTCCCAACTCGCGGAAAAAGGAATACCATCTCCAACGGCTACTGGCTGAGGAGGAAATAGATTTTTTCACCATACAGGAAACAAAAATGTCATCTGATAGCGACATAGAGAAAGCGCTGAGACCCTTTCTTGGTCGTTACGAAATTTGTGTGAGTCATGCGGTCGGAGCGTCGGCGAACTGTTTCCTGTTTTTAAAAAAGTCACTGCCACTGCGAGGCTTGGCCGTTGTTGTGGATGAGTGTGGTCGCTTCATCTCGTGTGATTTCCTTTTGTTTAACCGTGACTGGCGAGTGATATACGTGTACGCGCCCAACAGGGCTAGCGAAAGAAAAGTGTTTTTGAGTTTTTGAAAACATACAGTGCCACAAGGTTGTCGTAGTCATGGGAGACTTTAATTGCGTCTGCAGGCCGGAAGACAGAACATCGCGCAGAGAAAATCGCGATATCAGCGCAGAGGTGCTGACAGAGGCGTTGGAACAGCATTTCCTGGAAGATGTAGCGCGCGCCAGGGCGAGACGAGACAGACGCCAGTTTACATATTTTCAGGGGGCGTCCCACTCTCGATTAGAGCGCACTTACGTCTCCACGGAAGCTAACAGCAGTACGACAGATTATTTAGCGACGCCGCTTTTTTATACTGATTCTGCCTGGTGAGCGTGACGCTGGGAAAAAGGAACCACGCAGAAAGAAATTTGATTGGCAGCTCTGGAAAATAAACAACACTTTGCTGAAAGACAGTGATTTTGCCAAGGCCGTTTTAGAAATATTTAACAAAATAACTGCGATGCAGGGGAGCTGTTTTCTCGAAAAGTGGGAATATTTTAAAGAAGAAGTAAAGCAAGTCGCAATAGACCATTTGCAGTATTACCCAAGCATCAAGGAGAATGCAGGGATTGGTGTTCCATGCGTCACACGCGCACGCCTTCCCCGTATAAAATATTCGAATTAAATAACCAAAATAAAGTCTTGACGAACGCGCGTGCAAGATACAATTTGTTTTAGGTTTTTGCTTTAGAAAACTTACTACTGCTGAGGCCAGCCCGTGCGCCGCGTGGAACACCAATCCCTGCAATCTCCTTGATGATTGGGTAATATAGCAATAGGTCTATTGAAAGGTCGTCTCAGTATTGGCGCGAACTTTTCAGCATTGAAAGTGCTAACCCGGGCACGATGGGGGCGGAAATAAAGGAAGTTAGAACGAAACTGGATGACTTTCACAAAAAAGGTACCAGGGAGCAGTTGTGCGCGCGCGGGAAGATAAGTTGCTGTTAGGCGAACAACCCACGCGGAGGGCCTTGGCCGTTGAGCAGAAATACGCGATAACAAAAGAGATCCCCGCTATTTATCACAAAGGCGTTACGAGCAGCGAAAAGGATTTCATTAAACAGGTTTTTGTATGTTACTACTTGGAGCTATTCGGTGGCGTAAATAAGTCTTTAACGAAAGCTGACCTCGAAACATTGTTAGAAAGAATGCCTAGGCTCGCTGACGACAAAAAAGAGTGATTGTAAGAGCCGGTGACGCTCGAGGAGATTGAGCGCGCCATAGACGGTATGTCGTCCCACAAAACGCCCGGACCTCACGGCCTTAGTGGAGAGTTCTATAAAGCATTCAAGGAACCGTTGTCCTCTTTCATTTCAGAAGTGATTCGCGAGGCTTACTCTTTTAACGCGTTGCCACCTTTCTTTTTACAAACGCACACCGTTTTAGAGCGCAGCTCTTAGGGGCCCGTTTCCGGCTTGAGCGGCGTCGCCGTCGGCGTCGGCGTCGGCGTAACCGCGCGGTGCATCATGGGAAATGTCCCATAATGCACCGCGCGAGCCCCCCACCGGGGTCACGTGACTTCGTGGGGGGGCACGTGACCCCCCCCCCCCCGAGGTCACGTTACTCCCCTGAGGTCACGTGACCCCCTCCTCGAGGTCACGTGACCCCCCGAGGTCACGTGACCCCCGCCGATGTCGCGTGACCCCCGATGACGTCATCGACACTGATGACGTCACCGGCATCCACAC